AGAGTGGTTGATATTCAAGATCAACGAAAACACAAGCAACTCCGTGAAGACTTGGCGGATTACATCTATGTTGGTCACAAAGATGAAGATGAATAGTTTTAGGTCAAAAAATGTAGGTTTTATCATTTTTTTAGGTTTTTAATGTTTTTGTCTTTTGTTGTAATTTTTTTAATGTTGCTTTTAATTTAAGATTTATTAAAATTTTATTTTTACTTTTCATATGTTATTTTTAATTTATATTATAAATATAATTATTTTATGATATAAATTAAAAAAAACAAATTCAAAATATAGAAAAGAAAAACATCAAAAAGAAATTAAAAAATAAAATAGAAAATAATTGGTGTTATCACATGTTATTAGATGTTGCTCATTTCCACATTGGGTGTTATAACACCCATGTATGAGTAGGATGCTTACGTTGCACCTTTTGGGTGTGGTAACATGTTGCCCACACCTAGTAGTCTTAGGGATGAGCACTGGAAACAGTTACTTGCTTTCGGAACCGGAACCGTCTCGAAACTGGCGGTTCTGGAATCGGAACTGCTTTAAGCAGTTCCGGTTCCGGTTCCTAAAGTTTCAAAACCGCCTAAAGCGGTTCCGGTTCCAATTCTCATTTTTACAAAACCGATATCCGCTGGATACTCGCGGGTTCTGGTTCCACTACCGGGTACCTGGAACCAATACCGACGGGTACCCGCCTTTTTTTTCTAAAAAAAATATATATTAAATTATTTATATATTGGCAAATTTGTTTTTAAAAAAATAAAAGGAACTTCCACCTTGGTCTCTTTTAGGGTTTTGTCGGGAAATTGTCAGAAAGTTCCAATAAATTTTCACTTTAGTCAAAAAAAAAAAATTTGAACATAAAAGTCTCGATTTATTCATTTTGGCTCAAATTAACAAAAAAAAAATCTTTCTTTTTCTTTTAACAGGAAATGACATATTATCGTGTGAAATCAAATAATTGGAACTTTTCTATTCACAATTTTTTTTTTAGACTAAAGGAAAACTTTTTAAAAAATATTGGACTTTTTTGACAATTTTCATTTGTCGATTCATTCTTACCAAAAACGCCGACACTATCTTTTACCCTGCAATCTCTTCTTCTCGTCATATTCAGAAATCAGACCAATCGTCCCTCACATTACCAGTTAACCAGAAATACTACGTCGATTAGAAATAGATGGAGTTCCAGTCGATTTCGTACATCGTATCTCGTAAGGAAATCATGTCAGATTACGAGGATTCGAAGGATGAATCTCTGATGGAGAAGATACACGATCACAAGAATTCATCATTTTCTTCTATTTCTTCAGATTCCAATGATGATAGTAAGCTTTCATCTATCAAATCAAACGTGTTCCATCTCTTCGGCATAGAAAAGCTTGTTCATATGGTCTTCGGCGGTGGAAAACGTATGTTATTCTTGTGATTTCACTTCGTTTTCATTTATTTGTCAACTATTATTATTGATTGGTTCTGTAGAGTGGCAGTAAGGGTGACTTATCTGTCAACTTTTCCACTATCACCCCAAAAAAACCAAACTCTGCCTTACGTAAAGTTGCCAGAGTACGATTAACCTCTGGATTTGAAATCACTGCTTATATACCCGGTATTGGCCATAATTCACAAGAACATTCTGTAGTCTTAGTAAGAGGGGGGAGGGTTAAGGATTTACCCGGTATTTCGAATGTTTTTTTTTAGTTTTAATTAGTATGATGAGTAAATGCTTAAATCAGTTTCCTTAAACCCTAGTTGAGTTTCTTGAGGTTGCTGATAAGCAACTGGTATGGTGAAAAATGTCGATATCTTTTTTACAAATGTCAAATGTCTTTTTTTTTTAATTACCAATTTACACATCTTGCATAATACACCTAAGCTGAAGGAAACCATTTTGTGGCAAATAATGCATGTTGGGCTATTGGGGAGCTAGCAATCAAGGTGCATTACCAAATATGAGATATCTTTTAAAAAAATTGATTCTAATTAAACTTGCAATTTAAATTGCTTTAGGTTAACCAACAAATTTCTCAAATGGTGATGACATTAATATCATGCTTAGTCCCAATCCTTTTAACACCCAGAGGTGATTTATTTGTTTTGTGGGGCTTTAAGTTCACTTGTTTTCTTATGTAGAGCCCTTGCTAGTTGGCATGTAAGTTTTTTCATTTCAACCATTACTAAATACCAAACCATGCTTCAATGCTTCTAATTTGACTTTTTATGCTTAATTTCATTTCAGAAACTGGTCTTAATATGGAAGATCTCTTACGAGGGAATAAGTAATTGTTGTTGTTGCTGCTTTTGTTGTTGCTGTTTTTGCTATTTTTGCTGCTACTGATTGTTGTTGTTGCTGTTTTTTGATGTTGTTGTTTTTGTTGTTATGTGTTGCTGATTTGTGTTGTTGTTTTGTTGTTGTTGATACTATTGTTGTTTGTGTTGTTTTTATTGTTGTCGTTTTTGCTTTTATTAATTACAATTTCAGTCTCATGTTGCTATTTTATAGTTTGTAGTTTGTTGTTGGCTCTTGCTATTGTGTTATTTAAAAGTGGTAAATGTTTTAATAGCTTGTTATTTAAAAGATCAAGTTTTGCAAATGTTTTGGTTTTATATCTTGTACTTGTATTGTTTGTATAGGTTAATTTACATAATTTACATGACATGTATAAAATAACAAGTTTTAATACTCAAGAAGTCGAGTACCCGGAACAAGAACCAGTTCTGGGAGCGGTTCCAATTTTCTAGGAACTAGTGTAGGCGGTTTCGGTTCCAATACCAAAAACTTAAGAACTGTCGGTTTCTGGGAGCGGTTCCAGTTCCAGCTAAAATAGACGGATATCTGGTTATGTTCATCCCTAGTAAAGATCAAACACTAGGAATCGAACAGTCGGGTGATTAAACGTCCCCATACAACTGAACGAGAACAGTTTTATGTAGAAAATTTAATACTTTTTTATTTAACTAAATATAAAATATATAATAAAGATAATACTCGGGCCTTATTTTTTTCAGGGTCCTAGGCGGCCGTACACTTTGCACTCCCTTAAGGCCGACCTTGACCGTGATGTATGTGTGTGTAATGTGAAAATATATTCTATGGATTGTTGTGTGGTTCCAAGTATAATGTTGGCTTTTAATGATGTTGAACGCTCCAATCCAAAACACATTTATGTTAATTAGTTTAATTAGATTAATTTTTGTTCTATATAAGTACAAATACCAAATTTTATGAATGTACCTTTTGAGTTTGTAAATAAAAGAATCAAGAACATATTGTTATAATAGGTTTATATATTGTTCCTTATCTATATAATAACTACAATGCTATAAAACAAATACTCATTACAATCATTATTATAAAAAACTCATGTTTAATTTGAGTGGACATAAAAAGTTTTTTTTATTACAATTATTATAAGATGGGTGAAAATACAATCACTCTTTTTTAAAATGGTTAACTCAAAAATAAAATACTATTTTTTTTTTGTATAAAACGATTCTTTTACTCCAACCCTTTAGACTATCTCATCTTTTTAGTTTTGGTCTTCTCATCCGGTTACCGCGTTGTAAAATGGTTTCTATAAGGTTCATCATGGCCACGTGGGTGTGTTGGATTGTGGTCACCAACACAAACCACATGTGATGTGACAACGCCAAATGATCTTTCTTTCCTTTCTTTTTCATGTGTCGTGGTAGTCGTAGTCGTTATCAGGGGCGGACCTTAGTGGAGCCCGGGGGGTCTCGGGCCACTGCTCAATTTCCGGCACGTAGTGTAAAAAAAAAATTATTAGGTGCACCGACTTGAAGTACGAGTGACACCCCTACTAAAACGTTCTACGTCCGCCACTGGTCATTATATGTATATCATTGTTGGTGTGGAAGAAGATGGTGGTGATTGAGGCTGAGGTGAAGGCTAAAGTGGTTTGTGGCTTGTGACATACAATACTGGATGGCCTAATAAGTGATCAAAATATTGTGTTTGTTATGGCAATGATATTTTATGCTTATTTTCATACCAAGGGTCAAATTAGGATTGTAGCAGGTTCTCTTTCTTCAAGAAGCTATTACGGATTTTTTTTGGTTCAATCAAATCATTCTTGATCTTTTTCAAATTTTAGTCACACTTTCTAGTTTGTAGGTCACAGCCACGAGTTGGCAATTTATGATAACATGGATATGCTTAAGGCGCGGCGCCTTGTGTTTGTTTAAATTTTTTTTACACAATTACCGTTAATGTGATGGATATCTATTTTTGGATTATTTGTCCTTTTTGAAGCTACATGATCTTTATATTTCAATTAGGAAAAGGCCGTGACTTGCACGGATCATTCTTTTTAGAAAAAAGTAAAATAAAGGGTAGAAGAATATATAATAGACGAAAATTACAAAGAATAAAGACAATTGATTGAATTTGACAACTTTTTAGAAAATATGTGACGAAAGTCTGAATGTTAAAAAGTTTGGGTTGATAATAGAAGAAAAAAAAGTATCAAAATAGAATAATGTTGAAAAATGGGAGACAAAACTGTAAACGGATTAAAGAAACGGAGCACTTTTGAGAAAATATAAAAAACGAATGAGAAAAGTCACAACTGAATCTTTTTAGAGAAAAAAAATAAAAGATAGAAGAATACGGTAGACAAAAATGATAAAAAAATAAAGAAAAATGGTCGTAAAGAAATAAAAGTGAAAGTTTTGTGGCAAAAATATAAAGAATCAAAAATAAAGTGGCAAAATTATATAGAAGAAAAGTTTGTTGAAACTTTAGTGGCAAAATTATAAATAAGTAAAGAAAAATGGTTGTAAATAAGTAAAAGTGAAAGTTTAGTGACAAAAATATAATGAATTAAAAATAAAGTGGCAAAATTATAAAGAGGAAAAATTTGTTGAAACTTTAGTGGCAAAATTGTAAAAAAATAATAATAAAGTGGTAAAATTATAAATGAGAGAAGTTTCCTGTCGAAACTTCTCATGTCCTTCACGTCTCGTTCTCGAGTTTAACAAAAGAAAAGAAAAGAAAAGAAAAGAAAATCATGAGAGAAAAAAAGAGAAAAGAAAGGAACACAAAATTTTCTTTTGTGTTCCCGAGTTAGAGAGAAGTGGAAGGAACATGAATTATTTAGTTCTTTCTTTCCAAATCATCCCAAATCGGAAGGAAAGTTAGGAGGGAAAGTGATTCTCCCATTTCCATTCACTTTTTTCCACTTCCTTCTTTTAATGAAACTCGGGAACACCAATTTTTTTTATTTTCTTCATATTTCCACCCATTTCCTTTTCTTTCTCTCGTTAAGTTGAACTCGGGAACGGGGTGTTTGT